GTCTGTATAGTATGTAAATTAGGTATCGTAAGTCTACTACACCACTAATTTTATACGTTTCTTGTGAAAAAAAAAAAAAAAACATTTTTTATTAAACAGTCATAAAAATTATTTCTATTAATGATGTCTCCAAAGTTCAGCAAATTTTTCGCAGAAAAATAATTTATCAGAAAACGCGGCCTACCGTTTGGTGCGCTGCTCCGCGACGAAAACAAGGGTAAGCAACGGCGTAGTCAAATGGTGCACACTCGGTAAGTAATCCTACAATTTATTTTGTTTATAGCATAGTTTATACGGATTATTTCCAAAAACTTATGGAAATGTTTTGGAGATGTTAAGTCGAATTCGTGTAGAATCGGTTAATTTTATAGAAGAAAGGTTTTCAAACAGCCTTAGACCGTAAACTTCACACGTGTCGGGCTGCGATTTGCTCATGTATTTAATGATTCCTACAACGTAAAATTCGAATAACGTGGAACGTATCTAAGCGTTATAGGGGGGGTCTACTGTATATGTAATTAACAAATCATTAATAAAACATGATAATAATAGTTTTTACTTATGGTAGGTAAAGTATATAAATATTCCAAACACAGTGACTTAAGCAACAACAAATATTTATATACAGTAGATCCCCCTATAAGACGGTAGATACGTTCCGTTCTTTATGAATCAATTTTGTAGGAATCATAGTTTACGGACTACGGCTGTTTCAAAAGTTTTCTTTCATAAAATTAATCGATTCTAGACTAATTCGACTCAACATTTCCAAAATACGTATATTTTTTTTTAAATAATCCGTATAAACTACGTTATAAACAAAAAATTGTAGGATTGCTTACCGAGTGTGTACCGTTCGACTACGCCCGTTGCTAAAGCTTGGTTTCGTCGCGGAACAGCGCATCAAACCGCGGCCGCGATTTCTGATATTATTTTTCTGCGAAAACTTCGTTGACCTTTGGAGACATCCTTAATATAAATAATTTTTATGGCCGTTAAATAAGAAATGTTTCTTTCACAAGAAATGTATAAAATTAGTGCTGTATTAGACTTAGGGTACCTAATTTACATACTGTACAGACAATAATAAACTCAACTTACTAGCCTAAAATCTCCGTAGCTGTTGCCAGGCGGCAGAAAGCATATATATAATTATAATAAAGTTTCAATAAATTAAGTTAATATATAATTATATATACAGTACCTAATTTATATATAATTATATGAACAGACCATACTAAACTCAATTTATCCGCCTAAACGTCAGGAGCGTGGCGCTACGGACAACGGGAAAGTAGTTCGGCTGCCCGATGACGTTTTACGTATTATAGGAGTTATTTTTTATGGATTGTTTACGGATACTGCCAAAATTTTTATAGGAATCATAACTATAGAAAACGGTTTTATAGGGAGATCTACTGTATACATAATTATTTCAAAAACATTTTCGCATAAACGAAAGAGTTTCTATAGAATTTTTGTGATATTTTTTGGATTAAATCTAATATTTACAGTATGAAACATTACATAGTTTAAAATTGTAAAGTTAATTATTATATATAATTATTATTTTAATGAATTACAATATCCAAAATTATGTTAGTTTCAATATCGTAATAAATTTAAATTTTTCATAGGTAATCCGTAATATAACTATGCGCTGTCTAGAATATATTAATAATACTCAATTACTTAATTTAAACAGTGTTTTGTTCTGTCGACTATAACTAATAGACAGTATGAAGGAAATATAAAGTTATACCTTATTTGTGTTAAAAAGGTTAGCAGAATTAATATAATAGTTAAATTCTATAATTTCACATTAGAAAAGTTGATTACAGGTAACAGTTTTAATTACTTTAGTTAGTATTATTTCAATAATTAAGCAGAATAAAGACATTAGATATCCAATGCCAATAAGTAACAAAGGACTTTTGATATCTTTAATTGATAATGGACGGAATTTTGATGACTCTTGGAATTCTTTAACTTTTTTAGAATTCAATTCTTTAAACATTCCAGCTTCAAACATGCGAGTTACTCTAGAATAAAATTGTTTTATATATATATAAATAAATGTTAATTATTGTATGAAGTATGAATAAATTTATAAATTTTTTACATGTTAGTCATATGCTTCTTAAATGGAAAATTCTTTCTGATTGCATAAGCACCCATATATGTACGAAAAGAATCTTTCGATATCACATATTTATGCCTTTCTACGTTACTGATGTAGTCATTTAAAAAAGTTTCAAACATTATGTATGCAAATCGTTCATTCTGTGCTTTTTTAATGCCTTCTGCAATAGTCATTGAGTTATTATTCGACAGAATGTTTTCACCTAAAATTTTAATACTTTTTGACTTTGATTCCTAGAATTAATAATTATATTAATATAAAACTCGATCGTTATAATGAACAAATACTGAAATAAAAAAAACCACAGAGAAGAAGCCATCTTTTCATAAAAGTAAGTATAAATTTTTAATTTTAAAACACTAACCATGATATCTTTCCAAGTACTATATCCCTTGTATGTTCCGGTAGAGTATTCACCGTTGCGGACAAAAACAGCAAGTTCTTGAAAATCTTTTGGAAAAGATTCAGTTAAAGGATACGTCATATAAGACATTAATGCTCCGCTGTAACCGGATACCAAAACAACAATCGATAACAACCAAATTCCTATCATCAATCTAGAGGTAAAACTTTTCACTTTCTCCAGATTCAATTCTAAATTAAATTAGAAAAACGTTTATTGTAAAACTCATAATTTGATCTATATCACAATTTAAAAATTTTACCTTTGCCCAGAATCGTACAAACTAAATTCCAAAAAACTGTATATAGAGTCCATCGTTTTCCTGTTTTTGCAGCAACAAAGTCCTTCTCTATCACTTTATGTAGAGTTAGTCCAAATATCAATACAATAGAAAATATAGCGATCCAAACCTGATTACATGAAATATAGATTTATGTTTGAGTTTTAGTTATAGTTTAAGACTTGTTATTGTTACTTACATTTAAAGTAAAAGGCTTCGTAACAGAATTCCAATCAAAAACTTTATTTGGAGTTCTAATAAGAAAAACTGTAGAAGTAAATACAAACAATGACGTAAACTCCATTGCAGAGAAGCGTTCGTGGTTGACAATTATAGGTACAAAGGCCACATCTGCTTCCTGAAATAAAAAATTAATTATAAAAGCTGAAGTTATAATAAATGTATTTTAAAGCGTTGTTTGACAAAACATCAAATTAAATTGTTGTGCTGTTATACAACTTGTATTACCTTTTAAGGGTATTGTATAATTTATTAAATTATACTTTTTTATGTACGAAATATATTCAGTTTATACTTTTTTAAATTTTATCAGATGATCTTTTGCTCAAACGACCTACATAAAATTATTGATAAATAAGGTCTAATACATATAAATAAATTTGCGTATGTGTATAATTAAATATGTCTACATATTAAAAACAGAAAATGTTTAAAAATTTACAATATTATTTTACTTGACGAACTTTTGTCAGACGGCAGTTGTTTTTAACTTAACTAAAGACACAGTCTGTCTTAAAAAATTTGGTAACGACCAATTATTCTTATCCCGTGTTTCAAAATATAAACCTTTGACGACTTAACCTTTCTCTTTAGGCTGCTTGGCTGTCAAATTAAAACATTTTTTAAAAAATAACACAGAAATATCCAATTAAAATTATAAAGTTAAAATAGGAACTGCTGGATCTTACAGTCGTCTTCTGATTTGTTTAACGTTTCCACTTCGAGATTTCCAGCCATTATATCTACTGGAGAATTGCGTTTAAAAAATTTACTAAAGATTTTCTTAATCTTTCCCCCTGTCGAATTGTTGAAAAAATTCGTAATTGTAGACTTTTCTCGTATTGGTAATTTTTGTAGTTAAGTAATGATACAGTCTGTCCAAAAAATTTTTTACCTTACAAAAAAATTATCATCTGACAAAAATTCTAATACAGTAGAACTTCGATTATCCGGACTAATTGAGGATGAAGGTAGTCCAGATAAGGAAAAATCCGGATAATCGAAACAAATACTCTCTTTTAATGTTAATACAACACGTTTATTTTTCGATGCCGTATCGGTAATATTAAAAGTAAATACTGTATTTAAATCGTGACCAAATTTTCAAGAAACAAACGTTCGTATTGAATTTGGACTACTACTGACCAACCAATGCTAACAGACTACCTATTGTTTAAAAGGCCCTCTGGTGGCGCAAGAAGACAAATTTTATAAAATAAAAAGCAGTTTGTCAAATTTTTAGTTTGTCAAAATAAAAAGCAGTTTGTCAAAAAATAGTTTGTCAAATTTTTATGAATAAAAATTTGACAAACTATTTATCGTTTTATGACGAGTAAAATTTTTTCGTCGCGTTCACGGCTTTTAAGTAATGCATAAACCTTCGAAACGCGAGGCCCTTCGGACCGCGAGGCATAAGCGGTGGCCCACGTCGTCCATGCCTTACGCCGTTCTTGGTCATAGAAATAATGTAATTTGAATATAAATTATTTATAAATACGTATGTCAAGTTATATTTTTATTACTACGTAAAATATATTTAAGAGTTTACGACCACTGTGCTGGGTGAGACATTGTTGAAACAAAAAAAGTTATGCATTGCATCACGTACATAAACAGTATCGTAATTCGACAAGTACAAATCATCAAATTCGTAAAAATTTTTTTTTATTATGAACAATCCGGATAATCGAAAATCCGGATAATGGAGGTCTGGATAATGGAGGTTCTACTGTATTACAAATTTTTTCAACAATTCTTTACCAAAAAAAAATTACGGAAATATACCAGCGCATTTTAAATTACGGGCATTTTAAATTACGGAAATATACCAGCGCATTTCGTTAGTAGATATAAAGGCAAGAAAATCTCTCAAATAATTTTTTTCGAAACACTTTGACTTTAATTGTTACAAAAAATATATTTATACTTATGTAACAACTGTTCATGAGGTTACATGTGCAAAGCCTGTTAAAAATATTGTAATAGTAGCATATTTCTTTCCTACATATAAAAATTTAATCAAAGAGCCATTTTATCAGACTACCTAAAAAATCATTGATAACTAAAGCTTAATTTTTTCGACTTGAAGAAATTTTTTATTTATTACTTTTAGATTTTTGATTTTAAAATTAGCTTTTTACACATTAACTTATTTTGAACACTTGAATTTTATGTTTACTCACCTGGTTTGCAACTTGTCCCGTAATTCCGTGCCACTTACCACTTTTATCTTCATATCCTGCGGCAGTTTCTATTGGATGCACTACAAAATAACTATTTAAACGTCCCAATTAAATATATGAAAAGTAATTAACCTGAACAATTTATAATTTCTTGTATTATACTCTGTATTTAGTTACATTATTTTTTTTGAAACCAATATAAAAATGTGTAAATTATGTAATTTATACATTTTTCTTTGACATTACGTACATAATCTAAAAGATAAACGAACTTTACTATAAGTAAATAAAACAAATACCTTTAAAACAATAATGTACATATAGGCACTGAAAATAATATTTATAAATATGCCGAAATAAATATATATTTAAATGAAAAAGTATAATAAGAAAAAAGTATTGCTTCTGTAGGTGAATTGCAAAATAAAATGTTTGTTAATTACACAATTTGACAAAAATTTTTACGAGTATATAATTTACTTAATTTGTCGTAGTCACATCGTCATAAATAAGGACAGAAACGAGGCCAAACAACACAGTAAGATAAATCGGTAATAAAACAAAAATAACACTAAGCAATATAAGCATAAAACGCTGTAGCAATTAGAGCGGCACATTTTAAATTTTAATATTATACCATTCAGAGAAAAATAAGCTGTTTTAGTTCTGCTAATCTTTATGTTTTTTCTTTTTTTTACATTTTTCTAATCTTTCAGGTTTTTGTCAGCGTTGGTTTGAAACAGTTCATACAGCACAATATCATCCGCAAACAGCATACTCCACAAAGCCTCAAACTTCATGTCAAAGATTAACACGTCTATTATCAGATGAAACAAATAAGAGGTAAGGGCCAATCCCTGATGTAAACGAACATTAACACAGAACACTCTTGTAGTGCTCATACTGATCTTAACTTGGGCCACTGCTCCCTTGTACATTTTTTTGTTAAGCCTAACATATTTTTTGAAACATCATGTGTAATTCTTTGTGCATTTCCTGTGCCTTTCCATCAGGTGTTTTAGAGCAAAAATAGCATTAGTCATACTTATTGCGAAAAAAGCCAAAGTTTTTTTCTCCAATCACGAATTTCTGCCTAATCCTTTCTTCTACAATTTTCTCCAAAATCTTTATAGTATAGATAACGAACTTTATACTTCTGTAATTTCTAAAATCCTATTACCTTCAAAAACAGGCACAGGAATACTCTTTCTCTATTCATCTGGGATCTTTTCCCGCGTTTCTTCATAAAGTCACAAAGGATATTAATTCTCTTTTCACACAAACCTTTTCAAGCTTCAACAAGAAACCAATCAGTGCCTACTGTTTTACTCATTTTCATTTTCCTAAGAACATTTTCCACTTTTTCTCTGTTAATATCTTGCACAACTTTTTCATTTGATTTTCCATTTAAATATATAAAATTACTTGTGTCGACTGATAGACTGATTCATTGATTGACTGATTGATTTATCATCGCCCAGGGCAAACCGCTGAACCTAAAAGTGTGAAATTTGGTATACAGTTAGGGTACGCCATCGGAATGCACACTAACAAAGGAACTGTCGGAGTGTCTTCCAATAAATTTTAATAAAATTTAGTTAATAACTACGTTAAAAGTATACAAACTCTATTTTAAATTTGTAGCATTCACTAAAAGTGTTGATCAGACTTATTAGCAAATGTTGCACTACTTTATAGTAGTTTAGCACAATTACGCAAATTTTTAGAAGTGAAAGGGTCGCGAAGGAAGACGGCGATATTACATTTAGAATATATTCTGGAATTTTCAAAAATGGTTGAAGAATTAGTAAAATTTTGTATACTTTTAACATAATTATTAACTAAATTTTATTAATTCTTCGACCATTAAACTAGATCTAAAGTTCTAATCTCAATGTTTTTTCGTTTTTTTTGACGGATCGTTACATATGTAATACGTTTTTTTTCAAATTATATGTCTTTTATTTTTATTTCGCTTTTGTCCTATTAACTGTTAGAATCGCTATATTGACGACTTATTTGTACAGAGATATCTGATTTTATTGTACTTGCAAATTTCTTACAGATGAATGAAGTTTTTTTATTAAAGCATATAACTCGAGTTTGCCATTTATCTCTTTACATTGATTATCTTTTTTATTATTTTTAGTTCATCTTGCTTAGATTTATTAATTATATAGTAATACCCATGTTAATTAACAATCACTATTTCTTCCCATGTGAGTTACGCATTGAGTGGAACTGCCATTCTTCTTAGAGATAAAGATGGATAAAACATTTTTATCTTGCTGAATATTTGTAAAAAATTAATCAACTGTTTACAGAATCAAAATAGTGAATTTCTATTGCATTTTTTAAATTTCTTGTTATTTTTTATTAAGTAATGCTGATATTTGAATGCATTAAATAAAGTTGTTTTGACCAAAACCTTAACTCTTAGTTGCCTAGGTTCACCGCCCCTGTACTTTATTTTACTTCCCTTAACGACCAAGGGTCATTTAGGTCATTCAAGGTCAGTCAGGTTATATTATTTTAAAAATTTGCCAAAAATCAAGTTGTTGTTATATTCATATGAAAAAAATCACAATACATTTACTAATATTTGTAGTTTTAAATACGATATTTATAAATAAAATTAAAAAATAAATTCGAAAGAAAAAAATTTCATATATCAGAACTGACATCTATCTGTAAAAATTTGTAACATTTTGTTAAAATTAACACTCTTCAGTTGTGTATTCTGTACGATTCGACATAACATTTATCAATGTATCATTTTTAGTTTTAAAAATATCACAGATTATATAAATCCTTTGTTTGAAATCAGAACTTCTTTGTTCTACAAACCGACATAAAAACTAATGTACGATGTTTACTTTATATCGCACAATAATATAAATTTTTGTAATAAAAATATTATTACCAGTAGTAATACATTTAACATTGCTAATATTTTAAATTAAATTTAAAAAAAAATTTAAAAAAATATATAAAATCACAAAAATGAGGATAAAGATTTAAATTGTTATAATATGTTCACTTATTATGAATAAATAAACTTATTATAGTAATATTATTGCATGAACATGCTGAAAATATAATAAAAAATTATTAAAATATATTGAAATGAAGAAAGAAATCACAAAAAAAAAAATTTATAAGTCAGCGAAAGCCACCTGGACGCAAATATGTGAAACAGACGGTATAGAAGACGTTACCGTCAAGTGCTGGCATCTGTTGGCAAAAACTTTTGAAATTTTCGAATTTTTACAGGGTGTCTACGAATAGACATGCTGGTCATAAGCACTTAAGTGTTAAAGTATTGTATCATTAATTAGTTGTTGCTTTTCCTGTTTAATACGAAAACAGGGCAATTAGTAACGTATAATAAACATTTGCATTATTATAATTAACAATTTAATTAAATTATATAACAATTATTTTAATTTCTAAGTTATTTTAAAACTACAGCAAATAAACATTTTTAATGATTAATTTAAAAAATAAATAAAAGTGTAAAAACCCGCATCTATATACTGTTAAAGTTTTATCATTAAATGTAACATACTTTTATTGAAATTGACATAAAGACACTTACCTAAATTTTAGTTTTTCTTGGATAACTTTGAAAAATGGAAAAAACTTTCCGCCTGTTATTTGTCTTTCATCTTCATCATATCTCATTAACATTGCATCCTGAGAAACATGAAAACAAATTATTTGTAAGCCATTTTTATTATTATTATAATTTTCTTATACAGTAAAAGATATTATTTACTTTGACTCCAGCAACTCTCCAAACATATGAATCGTTGGACACTCCTATTTGAAATAATAAAATACCTATTATTAGAAAACAATAATACTGTTAAATGCTGTTGAATTTTATTACATTTTTAGTTTTTATTCTCTGATTATTTTTATATTTAACTAGCAGATGAACCTGGCGTTGCTCAGGCAAAAGTAAAGATAGCGAAGATTAAGATTATTAGGTTATTTATAGTCAACCTTACCCATTTTCACAGAATGCAAGAATTGAGTCCCCCTGTTTTCAGACTAATTAGAGAATTTTTAGTCTAAAAACATGTTTGATTTTTTTCAAAAACAAAAAAATTGCATTTACGTCTTTCACGTTGCTTTCTCTTAACAATTCCATCGTTACGTAACACTTCCATTGTTGACACTTCCATTGTCACTTAACACTTTCATTGTTAATGAGTGTTAAGTCTTTATCCTGTCTCTCTCCTCCCGGGGGGAATTTCGTAAAATTTTTTATTAGTGTGCGTTTTCGTGATGTACTCAAACTTTGTACCAAATTTCAACTTTCAACTCCTAACTGTTTGGGCTCTGCGCTTATTATTATTATTATCATCATTATCTTTATCAACTCATCTTCATTACATTTATAGATGGTACGCTTCAGATTTCAGGCTATTGTTAATAAAATATTGTTTGATTTTTTCGTATATAAAATGAAAAAACAAAAAGCGCATCAAAAGCTGTAGATGTAAGAAAATATATGTAAGAAAATATTTCTGTTGTTCATTTCTTAATGAGTGTGAGCTGATCGTTTATGACAAAAAGTATGCTTAAGTTCATCGTGATGTTCATCAAACCACAAATGCAAACATTTTAAGAATTGAGATGTAATTTCTTTGCTGTTGGAACACGTTTCTTTCAGCAAGAAAAAATTTGCACCATAAAATTCATTTGAAAGAATCATCGCTCAAAATGTTCACCATAATATTGAAACATGATCGCTGTTAATGTCACAATAGATCCAAAGAAATGCCAATAAATTGCTAGAAATGACTACTTTTACACAAATGTTAACTTTATTTTTGGGTTTTGTCCAAATCATGTATTATTAATGGTAGTAGTTAAAGAACAGTGTTTATGAAAAACTAATAACTTGCTAATCTAAAAACACAACTTATATCGTTAAACAAGGATCTTTATTTTTATATTTTATGGTCATCGTTCAATGTTAACTACCTGAAAATAGTAGGCCTAATATTAGCATCGATGTATATCACATAATTAGTAATCTTTTGATGTGAAACGTTTTACCATGATACATCATCATCATCATTTTTTATTCGTACATACAAAGTACAGACTGGCCCCACTTTCGTGCATTACCGGTTATACACGTTTAGTTTACAGTACTACTTACTTATTTACACTTACACAAATGATAGATATTAAATATAAATACATACATAAAGAAAAAGTATAGATGATAAAATAGAGTAAATCAATAAGTACATAAGATAATAATAACAATTATTTGATCTAGATACAAACTTAAAACAAACTATATACAAACTATGTACAATAAGCAAGATTATAAATAGATATGTTTACCTTAGAAATTAGGCATACAGTTAATTAGGATAATGAATACCTTTAATACATAGAGTAACATCTTGCAGAATTGGAGGTTGGCAAACATAAATAAAAGTTTGGTTAATACATCAAAATTTATAAAATGTTCACAAAATAAAAGTTTTATTTGTGGAATGTTAATTGTCCCTTAAAAAAAAATATGTAATGCAAGCGAATAGAAGCTGCAAAGCACCAAAAAATAATGTCTACTACAGTTTCAAGAACTGGTGTATCATTAATGTTCACCTAAATATAAATGCCAAAGGTAGTAATTTTCTCCAGTATAGTTAACGCATATAATGAGTTTTGTTCATATATTTTGTTCGTTCTCTTATATAAGTCAGACACGTTTTATCCATAGTATTGTGATTGTATTGCGTTTTTCTTATGAGACAGTTAACACATTGTGGTATATCATTCTTGTTAGTACAATTTTTAAAAAGATGGTTTTCACCACAGTGACTACAAGTGTGCGCTGTAGAAGTACAATTCCTGGCAAAATCTCCAAAAAATAGGCTTTTATAACACTGAATCGTGGAAATGTAATCATACACATTACAAGTTGACCAACGAATGTGAACCTTTCCAAGATTAATAAGTTTTTCCCTTATTTCAGGTTTCACTTCAAAAACCCAGGAGAGGTATTTTTTATTGTTTCATTTAAGAGGGAATCTTACAGAAATTTTTCAGCAAATATCTTATTACTATAATCATGCAAGAAAGTTACATTTTGTTCATACATATCTTGTATTAGTTCATCTTTTGTCAGAGTTTTAGAAATAAATACAATTTTCATTAGTGGGAGTCGTGTTTTCGGTAAGCATGAAGTAAGACAAAAAATTTCTTGTACAGACTCTTTGAAATATTTAACTTCATCATGATGATTTAAGTCAACAGCGATTCTTTCGTTTTTCAATTTCCACAATCCATTTATTCCAACATCAAGTATATGTTGTTGCAATTGACTAGTTAATAGGTTCTTAGTTTGATTTGATGTAGCACCCTCCTGTTCACTATAAACTAAGACCATATGGGCAGGCAGAGTTGGTTCACTTAATTTTAAAACCGATCCAATATACTTTTTTAAAATATCTCTGTAACTTGGAATACTACCTTTCACTTTACCAGAGAGATCAGCAGGAAAATTGTTATCTAAATTACTCAGTTTGCTGCATACTAGTTAAGATTTCCATAGTTTTATCATTATGATCATTGCTCAATTCTTTTAAATCATCTCTGGTAGTGAGCACAGACAATTTTTTATCAAGGTATTCTGTTACAGTATTTTTCTTGATTATTGTTTCAGCTAATTGTTTTACAAGCGTAAATTGCGTCAGAATATACGAAGAATGACACGCAATTTGGATTTTCCAAAGAATACTTTTTAATTTCCTCTATGATATCGTAAGCATTGTCATGTAAAGATTGTAATTCAGATTCCATACCGATCATATGAAAGAACAGTGTTAAATATAATATGATAATATGATATAAATAAAAATAAATAAATAAAATATGTTTAAATATTAATTTCTTCGACAAAATTAATTTTATTGTTTTATGACAGAATTCATTTTATTATAGCAGTCATGTCACAAGTGATGCGATTGTAGCGGTCATGTCACATGTGAAACGGTTATAGCAGTTAAAACTACGCATGTCACAAGTGATACGATTGTTGCAATGATGTCTCAAGTAGCAGTTGAATTACAAACCGCCCATTACATGTAAAAAAAGGCTTAAATTGAGGAAATGCTCTGATAGTCAGAAATAAACGTGGTAATTTAGAATTTAGTTTATTAAATGATAGACTGCTTTTAAGAAGAATCTTATATTCACTAATATCTTTATATAATTTTCTGAGACGTCTTTCATATGATAAGCTAATTTTTATTGTAATTGTATTTTTAAACCAATTAAACCATGTTAATTTTCTGAATTTTGCCAGACCTAACATGAAATATTTGAAAACAATCATTTAACAAATATCCTATAACAAAGGCTTTTCTACAAGAATCTAACTTATTTAAATTTAAATTACTCAGAACATTTCATAAGTTTTGAATATTTTCTTCCCAAGATAAATGAGTAGAGTAATTGTAGTTCTCAACTTTTGTATGATTCTGATTGCCTTCTATCAGTTGTTTCCAAGTTAGCAAAAAAGTTTTCAGTTACAGATTATTCCTCATTTTTTATTTTCATTCATTATCATTTTGTACAGATCACGAACCTTGGTTTTTGTTATTAAAGGTTCTTCTTCTATATCAATAAATTCACCTACTTGAACACACTACCTTGCATAGTTCGGAATCATTAAATGAAAATTAGCAATTTCTTCAGTAGCACTCATACTGACTGTTTTCACTGAACTGAACAAGAAAAGAATATTTCAACCTTATATTGTAATATTATTATTTATCAACTTCCTGTGCGTTCTTCTCAATTTAAATAAACACGTTATCAGTTCTGTTTCTTTTTAAATTATGATACATAATATTGAAAAATTCTTTCTTAATAAATGAAGCAGTGCAAACATTGTAATACAAATAAACCTTTCAGTAAGTATTGTAAAGATAATCATTCTAAAGATAACCATCTTTAGAATGATTATCTTTACAGGTTGTCATTGGTGTAAAGCTTGTGTGAGTGAATACTTTAAAAGTTATTATACAAAGAACAAAGCGGAATTAATATAATGTGAATGTCGTAAAAGTTTTTTTAAATCACACTTAGAGAATCATATGAGAACTGATATTCATAGAAGGCGATTAAATAAAATTAAGAAGTGTAGTAAATGTAAGGGAGAAAAATCTTTAGATGAATTTCACAAAACTAAAAAAAAATACTGATGGATATGGTTATACAGTATTTGTAAGACGTGTTTGAAAGCATAAAAATTTATTGATTTTATTTCCTCTTATTAAATAGATCAAATGTTACAATCACGCACTCTTCATGAATTGTATCAATTTTGTAGAGATAATAATCTTAGAGGATATTCAAGATTAAGAAAAGCAGACTTAATAGATTTTATAGATAGATATAAATTTAGTAATATATTTAACTTTTGTGAGAATGTTATAATAAATCCAGCACAACTGTAAGATGGCCGATCCGGGGGAGATAGGGGGCTTGAAACCCACTTCACGGCACTTGTGTAAGGTTGCCGTCTCCTAGGTGGGATCTATTAATCCTGCGTCAGGATGGATCTAAGGAAAGGTTGTATGTGGGCGGTGACGGAGGAGGCAAATGACGACAAGTGTTTTACACAAGAAAGCCGTTTATTTGTTAACATACATGCTTACATCGGCAATCGACAGTCCTTCACTAGATTCTTCCCTCGAAGATGCGGAGTGTGAGAACTTCGGCGTCGGTCGTAGCCCCGGGACGAGATGCTGTTGCTGGTCATGACTGACGATCGGAAGATATAAGCGGCGGGGTCCACAGTTCTTTTGCGACGACACACCACAATAGAAGTCACTACCTTTCGTGGAGTCCGAAGGAGAGCTTTCTTGACCTTGATTTTCCGATTTTTATAGTTTTGCCTCCCACTATTCGGACTTCTGATTGGCCCCTCGTCCCCTTCCTCGCTTCCCGATTGGTCTCTCTTTTGTTTTGGGGAAAATCAAGACCGACTCGGGTCACGGGAAAGGTCCGATTCCAGGTGTCCGTTCGACGCCTTTCTGTCGATTGTTCTTGGGGATTGTTGACAAAATTGCAAGACTCGCGCTCATAATTTAAATCCGTTACTCGCGATTTCTGTCATCTGGGTACTCGAACGATCATATGCAATGATTTATCTCTCTTAAATTTTTCCCTCTTTTCAGAAATTGTTTCCCTAGATTAATTGTTTATGAGCGCTGGGGTCAAAGTTTTACCTGCATATGACTACTTGTCTCTGACTTATAACCTTTCACTCTGACATTGACAGTTAGTTTAACACGTGTTCGAGTCATCCGAGACTCGTTGTCTACATTTTGTGCCGCGTTGTTTAAGTTATGGGGTTTTCTTCTCCCTTTCATATTTAATCTATCGTTATTATTTAATCATAGGAATATCGCGATTTACATGATTCGGACCTCGGTTGGGTCTTCACACAACCAAGAGAAAAAAAATATAATTAATGAAATATTTAACTTTCATGAAGATATTATTTCAAAACCAAGAAAAGAAAGAGAAAAGCAAATAAAATGTGACATCTGTGATCATTAATATAAACCAACCTATAAAAATTTCCATCTTGAAAAGAGAAGATATAAGAATGCCTTATACAATGGTGAAGCTATCCAAGAGATTTAGACAGTATTCAAATCAAGATTAAAAACGTATTCGATTAGGAATGTGACTAATCATATCATACCAAGAGAAATTTTAGATAATGTGATTAGAGATTGTGGTAATGTGTAATTAGAGATAGTTATTGAGAAGATAGCAGAGATACTGAAAAAATAGACTTGAAAGTAAATTTCAAATATTTCTGTGAGTATCAAAGAGAAAATGTGATTGGAAACTTTGCATTTAAAACTGAGAACAAGATCATTTTAAAAACAAAAGATTTGAATACTTATTATGATAATGTGATTGAAAAAAATAATAAGAGAGATGGATGAATTTGAAACAAAAGCATCTGGATAGACTTTAATAAAAATAAATAATTAAGAGCTAACAATGAATAAATATGTTCTATTTAGAGGATCATTCTATATTGAATTACATGAAAAAAATTAAAGAATGAAATTTGTATTGAATATTAAGAATGAAAATCAAAAATGTTTTGCTTATTGCATCACTGCATGTTTAAATCCAGTAGATAGTAGAAATCACAATCCTGGTCGAGTTAGTAATTACAAAATTGAGAAAATTAAATAAGCACTTAAAGGAATCGGATGACTTATTACTTTTGAAGGTATAGGTAAATGTGAAAAAAGATTGAATATATCCTTGAATGTTTATAGTTATGATGAGCACTGTACAAAGATAAAAAATAAGAAAAACAGAGCTATGAAATATATCCTCTTAAAATATCAAAAAATAAAGAAGATAAGCATGTAAATCTATCATATATAAAAAATGAAGAAAAATCACATTACTGTTTGATACAGAATCTATCTACATTAGTCAGATCACGACTGGCAAAACATAAAAAAAAAGATTTATATATGTAAAAGATGTCTAATCTATTTTTATTTATAAATAACCTAATTAACCATGAAATCGATTGCAGAGATAAAAAATTCGAATTCGAAAAGTCAGATGGACAGGATGCTGTCAAATGAGCTCTGGTTTTATATTGTGATTTTTGCGTTATTAAGTGTTTACTTTTAATGTGTTTGATATTTTTGTGAACCGGAAGGTTGAAGGACTATTTTTACGTCAAGTAGGACCTTTTAAATATAAAATTTTTTAAATTACGGCCGAAAAACCACTTTATTCGGTTATCCGGAAATTGCATTTTCGATTAACCGGTTTTCGTTACCGCATATAATATGTCTTCCCATGTTGTCTTCGGACACAAAATTTGGGGGTCATCGGTTCATTATTAACAGAGTTATCGGCTTTACTTCCGGTCAGCCTTGGAACTCCATTTTTGAGCTTCCGGTTGAGTGTACTGTTAAAACCTTCGGAAAAGTCTTTCAGGAACCTTTAAGCACACTCCCCAGAAAATTCCATTAAAATCGGTTGCATAGATTTTGAATTATGGCGATTCTAGAACTTATTCCAATACAACTTTTACTTTCTCAACTGGTGCCCATGGCAACGGTCTTGGAGTAGAAGCTTTTAGAAGATATTCAGGAAGTGACGTTTTCTAAGCTGTCTTTCGTTATATATGGACATATATATACAGGGTGTCCCAACGAAAACGAAACGACAGAGATATCGCGTTCGTCCAAGCAAATCTCAAATTTTAATTAAAAGTTAAGATATTAATAGATTAAATCACGTGTGTTTGAAAAAGATTTACACTTTCAGTCCGAATAGTAAATTTACTACGGATTTAAATATAATAAAACTTGAATATTGTCTCGGACAGGTCGATTTTATTCTCAAGGGGGACATCTTCTGCAATGAAGTTTTTGCGATTCTGAATACAACAGAAAACAAAATTTTTAAAAACTTATTCATTTTTTATTAACTAAAAAACATATATTTCAAATAAAGTAACACCAACTATTAAAAAACATAAAAAAAAAACCTTTTAAGCTAGACTTTTAGTCGTTCGACAGACGATGTTGGTCGCCATAGGAACGCTACTCGGACAACATCTGAAGACTCGACATCTTCTGCAATGAAGTTTTTGCGATTCTGAATACAACAGAAAACAAAATTTTTAAAAACTTATTCATTTTTTATTAACTAAAAAACATATATTTCAAATAAAGTAACACCAACTATTAAAAAACATAAAAAAAAAACCTTTTAAGCTAGACTTTTAGTCGTTCGACAGACGATGTTGGTCGCCATAGGAACGCTACTCGGACAACATCTGAAGACTCGACCGCTCATTGGTTAAAAGACATCNCAATGTTAATGGTAGTGGGAGTGCAGATATATAAACGGATAAAGAAACGGAGGAATTCGAATTAGTTTCTGCAGATAGATGAGCTCCGCTTTATATTGTGATATTAGTTATTATGTGTTTACTTTTAATGTGTTTAATGTTTTTGTGAATCTGAAGGTTGAAGGAATATTTATACGTCAAGTAGGACCTTTTAAATATAAAACTTTTTAAATTACGGCCGAAAAACTACTTTTTTCGGTTATCCGGAAATTGAATTGCCGATAAACCGGTTTTCGCTTTCCCATCTAATATGTCTTTTCATGTTGTCTTCGGACACAAAATTTGGGGGTCATTGGTCCATTATTAACAGAGTTCTCGGCTTTACTTCTGGTCGGTCTTGGAACGCTATTTTTGAGCTTCCGGTTGAGTATATTGTCAAAACCTTCAGGCTCGTCTTCTAGGAACCTTTAAGCACACTCCCCAGGAAATTTCATTAAAATCGATTATATAGAATTTGAATTATGGCGATTCTAGAATTTATTCCAATACAACTTTTACTCTCTTAACTGGTGCCCATGGCAACGGTCTTGGAGTAGAAGCTTTTAGAATATATTCGGGAAGTGACGTTTTCTTAGCTGTCTTTTATCAATATATTTATTATTTTACTACTGTTTACTATGTCAATTGAAAACACTATTGTTACTTGGGAAGAGCTACGAGTGTCAGCTCTTGAGGTTGTTGGGGAGCTTAAAAACTACATTGCAGAAAATGATCGCGGGAGATTCAGTACACCAAAACATTTTGACTTTATTATTAACTGTTTAGAAAGGGCCATAGAATTATTTATGGAGAAACCATATCGTCATGAGCTTAGGATTTTATCTGATAAAGTAGATCGTATAGCTCTAGCATCTACTTCAGAGAGCATGGAGACTAATAAGACCATTTTAAAAAAATTAGAACACATAGATGATAAAATATCTCAATATCCTTACTCTAAGGGGTTTTTTTGAGACTCAAAGCGCTGTATTAGAAAACTTGAACAAAAGCATAAAAGAAAAACTGGACCAATGTTGTGTGAATACTAATGCGGGCAATGGCATAAACAGAACATACAGATATGTTCTTAATTCAGGAAACACTCCTCGATCAATAAAGAATACCAAAATTATTAGGTTATCTACAGAAGTCCTCCTGGTTTATCAAAACGGCGAATATACTAGCTGTAATAAACTTCGAAATCTTATTTATAAAAAAGTAAACCCATCGCAACTTAACATTGGTGTAGCAAGAATAAGAAATATTGCAAGAAGCGGACTTGCGATTGAACTTGATAAACAAGAAGATGTAGTTAAGCTAAAACAATATATTGACCTTAATATTCTAGAGATAAATGCTAGAGTTCCTAAAAAGCTATTACCACAAATCATCGTGTACTCGGCACCTGCACACATTAATCGCGAGGAAATACCTATGCTAATTTTAAGCCAAAATGAAACTTTCAACGAATTCCTTTCTAAAGAAGACTTTAATAGGGAATTTACCATTAAATTTTTTATGGGAAAGAAGACTGATGCATTTGTTAACTGGGTCATTGATGTCTCACCTCGCCTTCGTGAACTCTTTCTACGACTGGGCAAACTTAATTTGGCATTATCCCGCTGCAGAGTTGCAGACTTCCATCCTATTTTGCAATGTTTTCGTTGTCTTAGATACGGTCACTCCACCAAAAACTGCAGCAAGACTACTCCTACCTGTAGCCATTGCTCGGGTGAGCATTCTTATAGAGAATGTAAAAATCTGGAATCGTCCCCTATTTGCTGCAATTGTAAACATAGTAAGGATGGCTGCTTCAATCATAATGCTCGTGATGGCACATGCCCTCTTTTCCGTAAAATCAAAACCAACCTGATCAACCGCACTGATTATGGTTCGTCACATCAATAATCAAATTTGTTTTCTGCAACATAATACCGGGCGGAGCATAGCCGCCACTTCTGTGTTAACATCAGTTAATCATAAATATCATTTTTTGTCAAGAGCCATACTGCATAAATAACGTCCCTGCTGGCTTTCTTGCCAACTGTATCTTCTTTCAAGATACCAATGCATATCCTTGGGCTGTTTCCATCGCTCTTGGGGACGATCTTTCCCTCCTTCACCACAGTTCTATTAGTACAAATTACGTCAGTTGTACTGAGTTGATTATCAATAATCGCAGACACATTCTTTCAACTATTACTTCCCTAAAAGTATTCATATTGAGGATATGCTAGATTAGATTCAAAACGTTATGGGTAAATTTACAGATGTATATTACATCTTGGCCGGAGATACAAACGCTCATTCTCGTATTTGGAAGGGATATCGTTTGGACTTACGTGGAAAATATGTTGAAGAGTTCCTGGCACTTAACGACTTAACCACCTCAAATTTTATAAAAGCAAAATAAAACTAGCTAAGAAACAATCCTGGAAAGATTTTTGTGCAGCTGCTGTGGATAACCCATGGGGATTTATTACAAAATTTTGTACAAATAAACTTAAAAAGAAACAAATCTTATATTCCACAAACGAAGAAAAAGATTTCTTTTCTGCTGCTGCAAAGAAAATGGACAGATTTTGTCTGACTGACCAGATGGATCACGACTCCGAAACATTCTTGGAATCTCATTTTGAAATACAGAACAATATAAATACAACAAATGTACTATCTTTTTGCATGCAAGAAATTGACAAAATCTTCACAAATCTTAAAAATAAAAAATCTCCTGGTCATGATAATATAACTCCGGAACTGGCCAAACACCTTTGGCAACTTATTCCTTATAATCTTACACAATTGTATAATACCTGCCTTATTTACGGTGTTTTTCCGCAATCATGGAAGTCTGCCAAAATTGTTCCGGTACCAAAACCAGGAAATACTAAAGAAAGCAGGCCAATCTCTTTGTTACCTGTTTTAGGCAAAGTCCTTGAGAGACTTATTAACAACAGGCTCCTCACGTATCTAGAGGCCAACCATCTTATCCATGATAATCAATTTGGCTTCAGGCCTCAAAAATCATCTGCTGATGCCTTATACTTTGCCGTTGCTAGCATTAATCATCTATTAGAAAGCAATAAATACGTCTTGGCTATCAGTCTCGATATCGCCAAGGCATTCGATTCTGCCTGGTGGCATCTAATATTGAATAACCTCCAAAAGTTGAACTGCCCTGCCAATATATTCTATATTATTAAGGATTTCCTAAATGACCGCACCGCTACACTTCAATGTGGGGGGCACACAGTTTCTCGCAAAGTTGTCCGCGGTTGTCCGCAGGGCTCGGTATGTGGTCCCATTCTATGGAACGTTCTATTTAATCTCTTTCTTACTCAAGACTTCGGACAACATAATATGATAGCTTACGCTGACGATGTTTTGGTACTTTTTGGTGGTCAATCTCGTTCAGCACTTGAGCAGCACGGTAATACTATTCTTAATAACATTCTAACCTGGGGAAATCAACATAAACTGGATTTTAATCCTAACAAGACTAAGTGTATAGTATTCAATAAACCTGGCCATCAAAACCTTTACCTCCGTACTCCTTGCATTAAAATGGGTGGTCATACCATAAAAGTAGATAAAACTATTAAATATTTGGGCGTGATCTTGGACCACCGCCTCTTGTGGAATTCACATATTGAATACATAACTCAACGTACAGGGAAAATCTTTAACGCTTTTGCAAGTATTGCGAGAGGTCGTTGGGGACTTGCCACTGAGGCGATGGATGCAATTTATAATCAGATTTATATTCCAATCATTACTTATGCTTGTGGAATTTGGGGAGGTGATGTTTATAAGACTCATATAAAGCGTAAACTTATTTCGTCACAACGTAGAGCTCTTATTCAGATCACCAAGGCCTACAATACCACGCCCAATATCTCTATTCAAGTTCTGGCTAAGAAAGCCCCTATTGATCTTATCATCACCTCCTATTTTAAACAATGGCAAATAAAGCATGGCCTTGATATTTATACTAGCAACCAACAAATAAGTCACACCGACTTGGAACAAGAAATTTCTTTTGTCATTTATTCACAATCTTTGGCCCTTTCGTCCACACCGTCAATCGTCTTCGAGCAACCCTCTTACAATGATTACGAAATCTTTACGGATGGTTCGAAAACAGATATAAAGGTTGGTTGTAGTTATGTTGTTTACCAGAACGGGCAGGAGATTGCTCTGGGCCAGTTCAGATTGGGTGAACAATGCACTATTTTTCAAGCAGAACTCTATGCCTTGAAAATGGCCATTACTTGGGCTAACAATGTCCAGCATAAACAAATAGCTATCATTACTGATAGCTCTTCCTCTATTGCAATCCTTCGTAAAAGATCCTTTCACCCAATCGTTTATGACATTAACACTCTCATTTCCAAGTCTTCCAATCGATATTATATTTACTGGACTCGTGCACATATAGGTACCCGTGGTAACGAAAGAGCTGATGTTTTAGCTAAGGCAGCTTCCACAATAATAGTCTTTAATTAATATCTCTTATGATAAAATCAGCACCAGTACTCTCAAAAGAATTCTCTGGCAGGATTTCCTATTAAATTGGCAAAACACCTGGGACCAACATAACCACCCTATTACTCATAGATTTATAACTTGTATCAAGACCTTTCTTACATACAAATGGTACAGACCTAATAGTTTTGTTACGCAATTTCTTACCGCCATGGACGCTTTCAATCTTATCTAGCGAGATTTGTTAACGCAACCAGATCAATATGCTCCCTGTGTGGTGTTACACATAGTAATGTGCACTACATTTATGAGTGCCCTATACTTATTTTGGAGCGACATATACTGCTTACCACTATTAATTCACATGGCCACAACTGGTCTGACTATGACACAATCCTTCGTGAAAAAGACTCATATGAGGCCTTTTTCGACTTAATTACCACATACTTTGCACGTACTACAGTCAGTGGCTTTTATTCAGCTTTGTACTCAATCACTCTCTTGACAACCATCATGTTACACATTATCAGCCTTAAGATGTCTAGCATACGTTTAGTTTATCCTGATTATTCAGTAGTTATTCTCTACCGAAGTATACTGTTTACATGCGGACAGATGACCAAGACTGCAGCACTAAGTTTACAATGCACTCTATATACATTAGTGCTAAATAACAGTTTTCTTTATTCTATTTTGCTTGTGGCTGTCTATTTTATAGATGGACTCTATGTATTTCTGGTTTTCAGCTGGAATCGCACCAAGCACAATATCGAGACACCGCTCGATTGTCAGTGATTTCTCTTCATTGCATTATATCCTTTTTTTTACAGGGTTTGCAGAGATGACACCTTAGGATATAGGTTTCATCCTGCCGCATTCCCAAACGTATTTAAACAAACAAATGTTTGTGGAACCCTTAGTGGAGTACTTTGAAATCTCAACTGTGTTTTTGCAGCATGGGCGCAACTGGCGCCAATTTAACTCTTAACAATAGAATCTTGAGGAACTTTCTCATTGACCTTATTCTTATTTTGGTGCATGTTATCTGAGTGGTAGCAGGTCCACTTGAACTACTAGAAAAAAAATCATGACCTGACTTTTGTAGTTCAACGATACACTTAAATTGTGAAGTGATAGTGAAGAACGAAAACAAGGAATGGAAGTAGGACAAAAGGAAGAGAGGAAAGGAAAAAAAGGGAAATGAAAGGGAAAAAGTGATATGAAAAAGTGACAACTTGAATGTAAGAAATAACATGAAAGTATTTGAAAAAACATAAAATAACATAAAAGATGTAGAAAAGAAACGAAAGAATTCAAAGACAAAACTTTTTGAGACTTCTCAGAACCTTTCTGTCGCATAGTGTATCTTTAGGTGGGCTACCACAATGTCGCGACGTTTTTGTTTTGTGTGTATTGTTTTATATTATTCTTGTAATTTGTAAATGTTTTATCATTTCTTATTTGTTAATCTTAATTGTTNTATCCAGCCAAGGCAGTAGCTGGATAGATGTAACTGCGTGTTCCTCTGGATTATATCCACACATACAACAATGGAAAGTACTTGAAGAATCACTTGACTTAGTGTTAGACAGTGAAGAAACCAGGAATACGTCACGTGGCTAGTCCATTGGTCAGGAGGAAACCCACCACCGACGTTCGATGGTTTTATTCACTCGGCCACTGATAGGCTGGATTTTTATGTATGGTCTAGCGCTTCAATGCATTGAAGCGCTTCATTGCAAGCCTGAACGATTAGTAATGGATCATATAATCGCTCTCGCAATGGCCACAGAATAGAAATTAGGTAATGGAAAGAAAAAAATTGCAAACAGCTTGACGTCAAAGACGATGATCGAAACGACTTTCGATTCAAAATGTGAATACGATTTTAATTTTAACTCAGTGGAGTAGCTAGGGGAGGACGGCGGGGGCGGTCCGCACCGGGTGTCACCCGTTTAGGAGTGTCACCCGACCGTGAAAAAATAACAACTTAAACAAACCATAACAATGTTTTTCAACGATAAATCACTTAGGCTTGAAGCCATTTTAACCAAGTTATCTATATTAAATAATTTAATTTTTAAATTATTCCGAATCTTATGGTCGCACTAAAGTAATTTCTGACAATTTGCGTATCAGTTGCTTCGTGTGAGAGGAGTTTCAGCAAACTAAAATTAATTAAAAATTACTTGCGGACAACAATGAGACTTAACAATCTTGGCATATTAACAATAGAACAAAAGTCAACACAAAATATAAATTTTGAAGATGTTATTTCCGAGTTTGCAACTGTTAAAGCTAGAAAGAAGAGCTTTGAAGTGTTTGTACATAATATGTATATGAGAGTATATTAATTCTACTCTCATTCTTTTTTGCCATATCCAACTTTCATACATCAATGTGAAAGAATGTTTAATAAAACT